GTATGTATTCCATCTCCCCCGTTAAAAATCAAAATCGAGCACTACCATAATTCCTAGGAAATAATGTACACATTAGGCGGTAGTCTAATATTGGTTCGTAACATATTATAATGTAATAATAAAATACCTACTATTTATACTACCAGACAGTACCAGTACTACCACAGTACCACACTGTTCACTATTATAATAATTTATATTATGCAGGATATCCAAATTGCAAGATCGTTAATAAAATATTAAATATATATTATGCGTGTGCAAATGTACAATTTAAATACATACTATAGTATAATATGTATAATGAATTTTGTGTTATATGTATACTTTGAATTTTATTGGAAATAATAAATTAAATATACAAATTATATTACAATTTATGTGACATACCTACCTATATCACCTCTATCAGACTCTACGTGACTATACACTGTACAATATACATGTTATGAATAATTAATATAAATAAAATGTATATTGGTAATACTATTATTATTTATTAATATGAATATTAAGCATCTATAATATAGGTAGTTTGGTCACTGATTTCTTATAGAATGTGATTATGCCATCTGTATAAGGCTTATAATTCGTTTTTTGGATTTATCGATACAACTTCGAGGCTGGCATTTGTTATTAAAATAAAAGGCTTTAGTGATCGTGCGTCAAGTGTTATCTGAACATACTGATACTTTTTTACCCATAGTGAATGTCAATCGTGTTCATTCAATCCATTCAATAAATTATTGGTAGTTTTACTAAAATTGAATAAAATACTACACGATAACAAAATAAATTACCTATATTTCATTGTACAAACTACAGTCTACACCAGTTATAATAGGTCCTGTATCGAAATAAACTAATGAGTAATAAATAGTAATTAATAAGTAATGGCTTATGACAAGATGGATGAGACCTTAAACGGCTTAAACGGTCGTTCACAGATAAACCTTAATCTTATCGTCCCTAAATAATAAAAAAATATAGCTGTGTCTGAGTTTCGGCCCGACGCGTCGTTTCCGATATTAAGGACCGGTGAATTCCGGTAAGTATGGGTGAGTTCAGGCCCGGGTAGTAATTATCATTACCTATGTACCTAATACCAATAGGCTATAATACCTATTACCTATGAACCTGGCAGATGCAGTGTTGTATAATATACTAACGAATAACGCCATAAACGAAATGTTCGATACGTATGGGGAGCCGGGGAGCAATATCTTTACATAGTATAATAAAGATAATATAGATCGTTTTGTTCTATTACCTGCCGTATGACTTCGATCTATGTCAATTTAATTTTGGGCAAAGTTGGTGGAGGAAAATCCAAAGTTTAGGACTTACTAAACTATATAATATAACCCAGACGATAGTCATTATTTAAAATTTTTTTTTTGACTGTCATTTTTGGATTCTGAAAACGTTATAGACTGCTATATCATTTACTTTATATTATATAGTATATATATACTTATGTAACATGTACATGCATTATTGTATGACCAGATGACCGCAATTCGTACCATTCATAAGCCCGGGCCGCAATTCACCAATACCAAAAAATATATATTTAAAATCAGGGGTCCGGCCAGCGTTGTCTTCAATTGAGACTCTAGAACACATTTAAAGCATAGACTAACGTATTTTCTGACCAATTTTTAGTCATTTAGTACGTTATGTTTTTATTACAAAAGTAGCCCTTGAGATTTAAAAAACATATTATGAGACCGGCTGCCTAAAAAGGTTGCGAAAACCCTTGGTTTAAATCTTGTTGATTATTATCAGTATAGGTGGATAGGCCTATCGGGGAATCGGGATTTTCCCAGTAGGCCCCCATCAATATTATACTCTGAGGCCCCAATACCCCCTCCCCCCCAAAAAAAATAATAATATAGAGGTAAATTTTTATAATACTAGCTGGCGTACTGGCGGCTGTACAGTATATTAATGCGTATTTGTAATATTTGTATACTCCATTAGGGCCTAGGGGCCTCTGTATAAACACTATAAGCTCGTCGATACCCGTATAAAATATAAATACAAAAATATTTTGTTGTATGCACTATTGTGCTAAAACTAAATAATGTATAAAATATATATAATCGATGTTCAAATAACAAAAATAAAAAAAAGAATGGATCAAGATTTGCCAAGTAAATGTGCCAACGATAGAACTCAAAAGAAGTTAAATTTTTTTAATATACAACTTATAGGCGTTAGGTATATGTGGCCCTAATAAATATATCCCGGAAAAAAAGTACCTATCCGCCCATGTTTATCAGTGCACACAAATCACACCTAATTATTCAATTTCGATAATAATCGTAAGTCGTTACTTTTTATTCGAGGTACACCGACATGCTGAGGTAGGTATACGCTTAATTCATAATATACACCTCGAGCGCCGCGAGTATTTAATAATTTATTGTACTTTTTTCCCAGACAAAATCGGATAATACAGCCAGTATTGTATATAAACCACAATGAAAAAACGATTCATTCAACAGCGTATAGTACACTATATTTAATTGCCCACAAGAGAGTTTGCAGATATTTTATACGAGAATTCAAGCAATTCGACTGGGTTAAAAAAAACGCAAAAGCCCATAACCTATATGTATATTTATATATATATATATATATATTGACGAATGCTTCTCATTGATGAAATCGAATCGCTTAGGAAATAATACAAAGAATGCGATTTATCCCATATGACCAGTGAACGAGATTAAATGCAGTGTCCAATATGGGAATCTAAGACGTTTCCCCTCCGAACAGGACAATTCCCCCCCGTACAAAAAATAAAAATATTAAATAATAATAATCATATACAATGCAAATAAATTTGCTTAATATAATTTTATTAAATTAATATATAAATATAATTCAATAATACTACATAAAAACACTTTTACTATTTGCCAAATGCCAATACAAAATTCACTAAAAATATAAATATTAAATACATTAAACACTAAACAAATACGGATTATAAAAACTTATATAAATACCTATTTTTCAACCTATTATTATGTGTAAAAAAAATATATAAAAATAAATATTGATTCAGTTGAAATGTCTTTGTACAGGGGAAAATGTCCAGTACCGCTTAAATTGTCGGGGGGGGGGAGTCTATATACCCCAATATGGTACGCCGTTTGCGACAAGAAAGTTCTGGAAAACATTCCAAAATAGCGGACTCTCAATATTATATTATTATAGTTTACAAATCGTCGGACTATCGGAGTACATAATACGTAGTATAAGCCACGACGTTGAAAAATGAGCAATGAGTAATGAGTAATGACTAATGAATGCAGAATGTGTTAAAAACCTATGTGCGCCGATCGCAATAATTATACAATAATTATCGTAATGGTATAGGTGCCTTGCATCTAACGAACACAGCGCCTAATACCGTCGAATAAAATTAGGGGTTTGAACCGAATTTTTTTTTCGGAGAGGGGCTGCGTTGAAATTCATTGAGGTGGTGATAAATCACAACTACAGGATAGGCGGAGCACGTGGAACCGTCTTCGTGTATGCGTATACGTATACATACGTCACGTGTTTGTTGTAAATTATTGTAACACTCCGAACGCCACCGATCGGTTGCTCACCAATCGGCAATCACCATTACCGACTCCTCGGCGATGCGATCGAATTCATTTTTATCGTCTACTGTGATCCGTATTATATCCGATCTGTAAAAAGATCATAATTTAATGATAGTTTCAGGAATAGTAAGACAAGTTCAGAATTATACGGACATAATATAGATCTCCAATTGTTGAGTCTCGTTGCATGAATAAATCATGGGATATAAAAATAAACAGTTTTTAAGTTTTTTTTTTTTAAACACTTGTCTGAAATATCGAAATGGAGTTTACTTCGATCTCAATGGGCACTAACACCTAAGCTGGTTTTTTTATTTATTTGTTATTACTTTGTTCCGCAAATGTATTGTATAATAATTATATTATAATTATAGGATCATTATTTGTAAACCATATAGGACTTGTAGTCACCAGTGGCGAATTTAGACACTTTGAGCCCATTAATGAAATTTAACCATCATCCACAACCCTTCACGAGTTCAAGTAAAAACTATCGATGATTCGATCGTAAATCCAATTGGTTCGTGTTTCTAGTGACTGCAGGGCATTTTAATTCCATTCGATTATTTCGACTTGAACACGATCAACATTTTCCAATGTACGTAGCTGTACGTAGTGCGTACACATTTTTTACAACATTTGACCAACGCTTTGGCAATTGGCATCCCCAAAAGGATGGTGATCACACACCCCCACAAATTGGGCACCACTGTTCGACGCCGATGAATTCCCGAACGGTCTTTGCCGCGACTCAATAACCATTGTGGTTTCGCGCCGGTCGCCAGTACCGAGGACGATAATGGCGAAACGAACGACGATGCGAACCAAACCGTACGTGGAATGAAAAAACCCCGAGCGGCGGCGGCGGCGGTGTCGTCGTCGTCGTCGTCGTTCACGGTTTAACGCGCCGCGTGTGGGTCGCCGTCGTCCGTCGTCCGGGTGCCAGCGACGACGGGCGAGGAGGGTCGGGCGAACTGGTTGGCACTACGGCGGCAGGGGGCGAGCGGGCGGCCGGCGTGTTTCGACGTTACACACGCACACATATATATAATAACGCTGGCGTACATAATAACATTACACGTACGCAACGTGCAGAGTAATATTATTATTATTATTATTATTATTATTATTATTTTGTTTATGTACAGTCGGGCGACGGCGGCGGCCGTGTCCAAGGGCAAGCGTCTCGTCTGCTGCTGCGGCTGGTTCGCTCGGTCGCGGAGCGCGCGCACGCACTCGCACACGCACGCCACGACGACCCGCCGGCGGCACGCACGCACCGCAGCAACATGGCGGCCGACCGACCGAAACGCCGCCGCTCCCCCCCGAAACCAGCCACCCACCCACCTACCCGTGTGGCGTTCGCGTGCAGCTGCCTGCCTGTGCCGCCGCCGCCGAGAACCGAACGCGCTCCGTGACGCCGTGACGGCGCGGCGGCGGCAGCCCTTCGTCGCGGTCGCCGCGCCTCCACGGCCACCAGTTGTCATCCATGCCGTCGCCAGCGAGCACGCCGAGCGCGCAACGACGAAAACGCCGCCGCCGTGACTATCATCCACTACACCAACAACCATACTACAATCCTTACCCCGGCGCCGTCGTATCGCTACCGGCAGACACCACTACCACGTCGCTGTCACCTGTGGCTCTAGCCACTGCAGCAGCCGTAGCTTCGAACGCCGCCACCACGGCATCGTCCACGGCGTCCGTCGTGGCCGCCGCAATGGCGATCGCCAATGAGACCAACATCGATCTGATAATGATCAACAAGATCAAGCAGCACCAAGTTTTGTACGACACGGACGAGGATCAGTACAAGTACATCGACAAGAGGGACATGGCGTGGAAGGAAGTGGCAGATGAGCTTGGCATGCCGGGTAAATTGATTAATTATAAATATTATTATGTAGTATGATGGATACCTATAGAAATTAAATTATGATTTCGATGGTAATTAATGTTTATTTTAATTAAGGCGCGTTGTGCGAAATGTTGTGATAACGCGCTGCTGTTTCAACCCTGTAAATACTAAAAAATTATTTGCTCGATGATTTCGTGTGTTTTCGCCGTTCGCCGTTTGAGCGGAGAAAAATGCGCGTTTGCGATCCGTCGGCGCCGGTGGTGGTGGTGGGAGAAACACATGTTGCAGGGGTTGTTTTGTAAGAGAAATAATAATAATAACAGTAATAGCAATGTGCCCCCACCAAGACGCGCCAGTCGTCGCGCCGCCCTCGCCCACCCGTGCAACAACAAAACAAGAGCGGCGCGAGCAAAACACGGACGGGATTTTCGGTGCGCGCCGCAGCCGCGTCGCGCGTCTCCTTTGTTCGGCGTATGTGCGTGTGCGAACGACGACGGCGCGTCCGTCCGTCGCCGGCCGAGCGATACGTGCGAGCGAGTGAGCGAGCGAACATGCGGTGCTGAGCGGTACTCGTCGTCGGGTAGGGGGGGGGGGAGGAGGAGAAATACCACAACGAAACCGGATGGGCCGAGCGGTTTGATGACCGCCGCGCACGTATTTATTATTACGCCCGCACGACGGCTGCGGTGGCGGACCGGCGCGCTCGCTCGCCAGCAGTGTCGCCAATCTCTTGACGCGCGGCGTTCGGCGTAAATGGCGTGCGGGCAGCGGTGGTGGTGCAGTCGCTGGCAGTGGCGTCCGCCGCCGGCGAAGGGTGAAAACTCCACCGGTTGCCGCATCGAATGTTCGGCGGCGGCGATACGCGCCGGCAACGTCGTTTCTGTGCCGGAACGCCAGCGCCGCCGTCTTACTCGCGCGGTACTCGCCACGGACCGCCCGCCGCCTGCACATTTTTCAGGCCGCCGCCGCCGCTGTTCTGGTTCTGGTCTCGCCGTACCCCCCCGCCGAATTGGTGTTTGGAAACCCCTTCGCGTCCCTCCGTCCGACGCCCCTCTGGCCGCCCAACTCGTCCGGACTCGCAATAAAGACGGCGGCAGCGGATTAGCTTCATAAACAGAGTTCACCACTACTACAGCAACAGTTGTCCATATTATTTTGGTGTTATTATTTTCACCTATGACCGGACAACGGCGTAGAACGAGTGAACGACATAGTATTACTGCCGCGTGACACGTTCATTATTTTTGTACGCCGCCGGTTGTTTCAGTGCCGACGAACAAAAATCGTCGCGATATGACAAAAACAAAATATCTAATGTCATGTCTATGTAGCCATTTCATTGTTAATAACAGCGCGTTTTTCTTTAGATTCTTCTTATCGCGTTTATCTAAACGGAGAGTTGTGGAAGGTCATGATATCTATTATAATATAATATTACGATTAACGAAAAGATTCGTATGAGAAAATATTAATCGTTTCGTTTGTATCAATGCGCGAGATAAACGATTACGAAGCTGTGAACTGTGTTTTAAGTTAGGTATTATCGCTCTGAATTTTAAAAACATTTATAAAATTAATTACTCAAATATAACTGAACGTCTGAACAGGTACATAATATATTATTTATATACCGAATGTGTTATTATGTTTAATATACTTAATGTGTTTAACTATACTACTGTTACTATTAAACTAATACAAAAAATTAAATTAATCACTGTCGACTACACAGATATCTAAGAAGTTAATTATAGTCTATAGGTAATAATAATATAGGCGTGTGAGTATGATTAACACGTGGAAAACTAAAAAACGTTTGAATGGACTTGAGAATAACAGAAATTTACATTATTAAATTGATTACGTATTTACGACCGGTTAATAAATAACAATATTTACATTTTTAATGCATAAATTACGTCTGTAATTAATTACCACTCTGATTTTAGGTGGTATTTTTATCATAGAATAATATAAATTGTGTACGAATGTTATTATCGTACACCGTTAAATTATATTAATATGCAATCGAGATCGAAGAAGCGAGTGTTCGCGTGAACGTGGGATAATGTGATCGAATGATAATAGTATAATATGAAAATCGTTGGCAAACGATTAAATATTATTATGATATTTTGTCGTGTACGTTTAATACGTCTGATAATATTCTATTCTCGTCAAGTTTGATAATTATAATATAACAAACGTAAATGCAAAAATATCGTACGTTACAAAAAAAAAGGAAATATTATCATCGAATTGCGCGTCAGGCAGAGTCATTGTGATGAATTTCGTAAATAATATTTACACAACGCAATATATAAATTCCACACAAGTATATCAGTAGGTATAATATTATAATGTAGCATATTATTACCTAATGGCATGACGTGTATTATACGCAGAACAGATTAATCGGCGATATCGTATTTACTAAATTTTAGTGTAACACAAACAAACGAAATACAACCGTCGCAAAATAGGTTTAATTATTCTTTTGACGAGTATTTGATTTCGTGTCCAGGTCCCGTAATGCCATTACAAGTTTGACTAACCCTGTTTACGAAGTTGGAGGCACTATAAACTATTTGGTTTGCTGCTGATCGAAAAGTCAGTTCTCTTCCGGGCGTCACACAATTGTTTAGCAAAAAGACAAAAGTGTACATTTCAAGTGAAATTTTTAATTGTCGAACGTGTGTAAATATTGTATAAATACATACAAATTTTTCGAATTTTCAAATATTTGTGATTGGCCACTGATTTGAGTTATAATATATAATATGTATTTATTGTGCACACATACAGACAGCAATATAATTCTTATGCGGTACTTTTGAAATAGGTAATAAACAAATATTTACCTTATGTCATCCACTCTTCGTTGCATACGCGTGCACAAAAAATGTGTCGTGACAACATTGTCTGTAGTTGCCCGTCGGTATTTACCAAAACGAAAAAAATGTTGCTTAGGTTTTTTATATTGTGATGAGTCGAGAACGCGTATGAGTATTATACGATTGTTTATGTGAACTTATGGACTTAAATTTCTAAAACATATTCAAATTATTTCTCGTGTTCTAGATAGGGTGGAAAGTTCAATGAAATCTGTGACAATAACGATTTCCTCGCGAATGTCGTAACTACCGTCTACTGTTCGTATTGATATTTTTTATTCTTTATTTAAAATTGTCACTATCTGCGATTACTTTGCAATGAGAACATTTATATAGGATCCGTCTACCGGGGGGGGGGGGGGCAGAAATTAGAGAAATTTCTAATTAAGTTTCGACCGTTGAACAGGTCATATGGAAAACAATTAAATCAAACCATTTAAACGATCAATTACTACCTTACAGGAATAACGATGACGCCTCGTAGAGGATTCAGATTTTTATCATAATGTTTTCATTTGAAATTGAAAATCTTGATTTATATTGGACTTTTTAATTGATTTTGAATAACGTCAGAAAAATAAGTTTCAAAATATCTAAAACTTGTGAATTAGTGTTAGATAAATTATTACAATTTCTAAAAATATAATTAAAATCGGGGTGTGTAATGCGGCGACTGGTGTATAATTTTCATCTTTTAAATAAATAAAACAAAAATAATTGAAATCTGACTAGTTTACGTTTAGAAGGAATCCTGCTGTGGAATTTTTTGTACCAGCATAAATGAACTCCGACACCCTTATTCAATTATCAGATGGCAAGATAGCCTGTCCACAGAATAAAAATGAATGGCCTGTCTGAGTGGAGAAATAACACACGTAATACAGCACCACGCATGAACTTTTTTTAGCCTTACGACATGCTTGCAATGTATATAGTATATGCGTAATGTGTTGGAGAGGTTTCTATTTTCGAAAATGCGTTCTGCGGAACGGAATTTCAGGTGGTATTTTTCCATGTTGCAATATAGTATAGAAACGAAACGACCGGTCCGTGTTATAATAATGTCTTATATAATAGCATGATGGGTACCCAAACAGATAACGCAGTCATACGAATTTCGAAGTTATAGATTTGCCGAAGTTTCCGCAAGAATTTTTTGATCCTTTTTCATTGGTACTGTACAATTTGGACGACCTTGCAGTTTTAGGATGTATGCGCAGTAAGCCACTCAAAACTCAACAATACGTTATTTTCTTATTCATGGATTACTGTTTACCATAATATAGATCGTTGTGACTTTGTGAGTGTTGTGACTGCTCATTGTCTGTTCTCTACTACAGTTAGTACTGGTGTGCTGCAGATGGAGCGCCGGCCGCAGAGAATGTTCATTATTATACGATACCGTTTGCATATTATTATGTAAGCTACGGTATAGTAGGTACCGTTTATTTTATTTCGTCGATTTCCATTTACTTTTATACGACCTACGACAATATTTATCGAGTGCAATTGTCGCTAAAACCATTCTATTGTATTTTATTATAAATAATAATATTATTAATATGTGATCTTGTAGCACGCACTGAGAGAGTAATACGCAATAACGTTTAATTAGGAGACTGTCGTCAGATTTTTTTATTATTTTCCATTTTTTACTTGAGCATATTAACTTGTCGGAGCTTTATAAGCTCTCCATTTTGTCATGAATGTTCGTATTAGTAATATAAAATAAAACCATAAAACAACCTTTAGTACTGTAGACGTTTAAAGCATAATATAGTCAAGGTAGTATAAATTACAATATGATAGATACTAGATTTATTAAGTCATAAACAGTTATACTAGGTAGTTAGTAAATATGATTCGCTGTATTGACTAATGACTAGTAATAGTGTTTACTGACGAAGAGAGAAATTAATATGATCAATCGCACGCGGAAGTAAAATATGATCTATTTATATAGTGTATTATTGTATGTGATACGTAAATATTGTAGTACCTATACGATTTAAATGATGGAACCGTTGCAGTTTGTAACTTATGATAGAAATATATAGCTACCTAATTTAGCACTTTAATTAAAATCTTGTGGTTTTACCCAAACATTTATAAAAATATGTACCTATACTCATTATCGGTAATGACTAGGGCTGTGAATTTAATTATTTTCCATATCAATGAATTTAATTTTGAATTCATAACAAGTGGCATACACATTTAGTTCTGGACATAATAATCATTCTATTTAATAAACATTATCTTGCATATTACATCAGTTATGTGTAAATCTAAATATGTTTATTTAACCCTGGCATAAAGGAGTGCATAAAGAAACCTAATGTAATACTTGTCGCATAAAATGCCATCAGCTGAAGTATATGTCATCGGCTGAAACATTGTGGGTCAAAATATTGTCTGCTTATTTAACCGCCCCGCAGGTTCTATCTTTAAAAGAAATTATATACGTGAGGAAGACGCTCACCGAGGTGGACCGTATCCGTCGTGAGTCACGCATTTTTAGGTTGTCATTTGTTGACAGAAGTCGGTGGTGTGAAATTATATGTTAACTCTTAATGTTTGGTTGATTTAGAAAATATATCATAATTTCACCCAGCACGATTGTCGTGTTTAACTGTTCTATCAACTGTGATACCTTCCTAAACACCAATAATTGTTATTAAATATTACGTATTATCCACAGTTAACGATGTCAAATTGCGCTGGAAACGTTTACGCGACAATTTCCGAGTGTCCATCAAACGCACCAAAGGATTGAATCTCAAACCCGGCCTACCGTTCGTCGAGGGCAAGCCCTGGAAGTATCAAAAGGAAATGGAATTTCTCTTACCCTTTATGCAAATCGGAGGGTGAGTTATTACTGTTTGCATACATAACGCGTAGGTAGTAACCATATTATATACGTACCGCGGTTTAACCTTTGAATTGGGCGGCTCGGTTCCTGCAAAGAACAGGTACGTCCATTTCTAGTCCTGCGACAAAGCGACACCAGTGGTATAGTTTAAAACAGAAAGAAAGAAAGGATAACTACCGAAACCATAGAAGTTTGTTGTTTGTAGGCCATTGAATACGTGAGAAAACAAAATAGCGGGCGCCGATTAAAAATCTTACGAACAATATAATGTCTCGGTCTGTGACTCTGGGGCGCGTCCTGTCCCCCCTCCACCCCTACCGAATGAGCCATAAGCGTACATAATAAGATACGTGTTACCATAATTTTACTGCAGTAAGAATAATAATATATAGGTAGCTGTTACACAGTCAACTTTACGTATGTTTACAGGCAAATTGTAAATTGTAATGCTGTACCCACGTAGGTGAAACTTCTTATGATTAAATATCAAAACAACTGAAAAAGATAACCGATCAAAACGAAAATTTATTCGATATTAATATTAGCCACGGTCTCATATAAAAAGTCTTATATATTTTAAGACCACGATATTAGCCGGAATAGCCGTATTATATGCACAATCCTATTAAATTATATTTTAATTTTTTTTCTTCACCCGCACAACATCCGTAATGACATCTGGGCATTTGGCACACGAAATGTTTAGGTACCGAACTGTTGCGGTGAACATTTTATGCATTTATCGTATCCATGTCGAACGTATTCGTGGGTACCTACATAATATGAGTACGTTTGTCAGCTGAAATTACTCGGCAATCATCTTTTATAAAGTTTAAAAGAGCAGAATATAGTCTATATTATATTCGATGATAATTGACACCTTCGTAGGGTTTGTGTACGGATTTCTCGAACGTTCGAGACGGTTAGTCAGTTTCTTATTGTTCCGGTCGGTCGGTCGGTGGTTGGGTGGGAGAACCTCTGAGCGCCACACGATCATGCTAACACGAACTGCAGCAAGGGCACGTACCGATCTGTTGCTGCTCCCGACCAAGGATCTGCATCGACACTTCGTTTACTATTATAGCGTTGGGATTAAACATAGCACACAAAGCAGTCAATTCGCACTTAGAGAAGATAATAATATTGTATATTATACGAATTACGAATCGTAATAGATTCGTACTGGTCGCATAGCTTTAATATTATATTAGACCGTTTAAAAATTAGGTTTAATATTGCTATATAATAAAAATGTTATTGCTTCGTTGACGAAAACAGATAAGTGTTTGTTGTTGTTGTTGGTCTCGGGATGTATAAGACATAAAGAGGTATGTCGCATTGAAATCCTTAATTACCATGTATAATTCGGCGTATAGAAGTCGTATTAAGAATTTCGTTCATTTTTTTGCCACCTCTTCTCATAAATATACATAATATTTTTAACTGAGAAAAAACAATTTATAATTGCTTCGAGGTAATATAAAAATAAGAAAAACCATTTGAACAAAGCAAATAAAACATAATATTAAACAAGTTATTAATAATTATACTTTCTTTCGTATTACATAATTGTATTGATGATGGATTGATTTATTATTTAATTTTTTACGGGCTTAGCTAAATTAATTCATAATGCCATTAATCATTATATTTTATTCTCTGGCGGAGTCTGTTTCAATACATATATTCTGTCAATGCTGTCAAGTCTTCAATCACTTGAATTTGCCACCCGGGACAACAGCCTCTCCTCGCCATAGCTACCTCTGAAATATAAGACTGAATGAATAGTCTTTTGTGTCTTTTGTGAAGTTATACAATCAGACCGATTCGCTTTGAAATTAGGAATACATAACATAACTTAAAAATATAATAAAGAGTTATTGTAGTTGTCGTAAAAAACTTTTGGCATAGGTAAACGCGTTGCTGCAATATAAGCTGTGTAGGTAATTGCGGTGTACACTCGTTGAACACAGCTTTTTAGTTATGTTTTTATTTACATTTTATTCAATTTCTTATTTTTATCTTGTTCCGTTTGCGCAGGTATTCTCTGAAGAAAATGCTGAACTTGGAACACTCACCCACCCAGGACTACGCGGTCGTGTACGACGACTGCAAGACGGACGGGTCCTCCAGCCCGTACAACAACATGTCGTATGACTACGACGAGATGCCCGAGCCCCGCGTGGAGATGAAGGAGATGGCGGGCAACTACTCGAACGACGAGGGAGGCGTGGACGACGAGCTGCTGTACCCGGACGTGGAGATCCTGAGCAATGGAAAGCACGAACCCCTTCACCGGGTCGCCAAGCGGGTCAAGCGGTCGGCGGAAGCCGCGGCGGCGGCTGCAGCCAAGGAGGCCGACTCGTCCGCCCAGCTCAAGCTCAACCAACACCACATGAACCACTATTACCACATACAACAGCAACAGCACACCCACGCCAAGGTGCACCCCGTCGACCTGTTCTTCTACAGCATGGCCGAGACGACCAAGGGCCTACCTCAAGCGTACCAGGCGGAGATCAAGCGCCGCGTCCTCGAGATCGTCATCAAGGCCGAAGAAGAGATGAACAAAAATAAAAACTACGAATGAGTGTCGTACAAACGACAATCCATATCCCCTCTCTTGCTCTCTCATCTCTCTACGAATAAGCCTTTTTTTGTTTTTGTACCATTCTCCCTTTTTTATACATTATATTATATTAGCATTTTTGATGTCCCTCACCAATTTTTGGTCGAGATGTTGATCGCTTGTCGTTCTCATATTTTACAATCAAATTGCTTAATTTATTATTATTATTATATAATTATTTTTTTGTTTGGTAAATTCCAATGACTTAAGTGTTACAGTTATCGAATGGCCGTGATACAATTTCTGAAATGTCCAACACCAATTATTATTAATACACATCACTCAGAATTAAGAGATAATTATTTATATTATTATTTTTTGACCCGTGGAGACAAATGACGGGTATATATTATATTTATTATACTAATTAGTGTAAATGTAGGAAAGCACTCTGAAAGAAAGTTTTTGTAATATAAACATTCCGAATTTTGCCACCAAAATGGCTTTGTGATAATAATAATGTGTTAAATATTTAGTACCTATGACTATATTATAAAAGTTATGCATTCCATTGTAGTGTACTTATACAGTGTGATTCAATATTGTTAGTGTAAGTCTGAATACTTCATACCTATTAAGCTCATGTAAAGATAATTATATTTTTTGCTCAAACATTTTCTGCATCTGCAGAGAATGTGTGTACCATTTTTTTGTGTACAAAATAAATTTACATGTAATGTAGACTAATAAGTATGAACACTATTTATACCATGACAGTCTTATGTTTATTGTTTTTTTTTTTTTTATGTATACATTTGTCAGAAATTACAATAATTGTAAATAAAAAAAAAAACTATTGATACAAGAGCGTTTGTTTCCTTTGTCACTCTTGTGTACTTTTAATGATTTCAAGTATTGTATAAAGTATTACTTGTAGAGGGCATTTAGAGCCTAACGTATATGTATATTGTAGACATATAGGTTTAAAATTTAAATACTTGTTCAAGGATCTATCTTATGTGCAAAATATGCATTTGGCAAACCACGTGACTTGGCTGATTCCAAGATTCCTTTTATTGGATATTTGGATCTGAAACTTTATATTTACACTCAGATGAAGTATATAATACAGTAAAAGTGTAAAGAACAATATAAACTATGATCTATTTACACTAAATGTTACACAATTTATTTGTTAAACTAACTTAAACTTCATTATTGTAAACTAAGTTTGTTGAAAAAAAAAAATGGAATTAAGGGATATATTTTTTTAACAGTATTTAATATTAGAACAATTATGTATTATATTGTCTATTGTATTGGACACATAGGTACCTACTTAAAATATTCAGTTGCTTTTCCTTAAAATTTTATTATACTTTATATGTATTAATAAAATAGTGACTCAAATTACTGATTTTATAATGATTAATATTCCACTTGAGCATTTCTACCTGACAATAAATATTTATTTTGTTTTGCATAAAATATTGTGCATAGTAGTGGAAAATCTAAATCTATTCATAACACGTTTTATGTTTAGATGACTAAAAGAAACAATAAATAGAAAACACGAAGTTGAAACATTGTAGCTACAACACAAATTTTAAAATAAATTCAATAGTTTTGGAATAAGTAGGTCACAAGGCAGAAAAATCAATTACAACCTCAAAACAGCCTCATAGAAATGTATTCAATAGAGTCAATTAGAATACTTTGTTAAGTTAGGTGCCAAACTATATGTGGGAAACAGATGCCAAAATAACAGACCTGACGACTGACAGTCAAACATAAACATTTTGATCCGTTTGTATGTTGTGCTGTGCGTAGCGCTGAGCAATCTGCTCAGATAAATTGTGTTCAAATTATCGTTATAGATTAGATGATTGTAAGTGCTTATATAAAAAATAAATTAGGTACACTAAATTGCATTGATTACAAAACATATATGTTTTTGTTGAATAATTTAACATCGGTTTCTATTCTATGTATTATTATTTATTATTAATAAACTCAAAACCACTATAAGAAAAAAAGGTGGTCAGTGACCTACCGCTCTGCAGCACCTTAAGTGTCTAGGGGGTTACTCGAGGTGTAGAAAAGATCTCTGCATCGTACGGTCATCGTAATGGATTTGTTAAATTTGAATTCAATGGTTTAAAGACATTGAATACAAAAAACGATTCTGAGCGAAGACGGTATGTTAGCCTATATATTACTTAGTATCTTCCTGTTGAAGACCCTATCCGTTTCGGATGTTAGTAAGTAGTAACCAGGTTGAATATTGCTTCTCTTTTTAACTATGGTCGTAACAGTTCAATTGTTGTACTCAACCAGTCCCGGAGATTTTTTAAACAGGATATCCTTCGTCTACCAACATTTTTCTTGCCTTCTATTTTTCATTGAAGTATAAGTTGCAGCAATCCATATCTTTTGTTATTCCTCATCATATAACCCAGGTATTCTAATTTCAGTGCTTTTATAGTCCTCAGTAATTCCTTTTCCTTCTGCATTCTTTGAAGTACACACACGTCGGACACTCGGTCTGTCCATGAGATGTTTAAAATACGATGGTACAGCACTACAGCCATATCCTTAATGCCTCAATTTTCTTACTTAATGCCTATGTTTTGGCTCAATTGGCTCTACATAATAAGATAGTGATGATGTAACATCTAAGTATTCTGAACTTAGTGATTAGAATAAAATCACGACATTTAAATATCTCAGATAATTTTTCGAATGCATCTCTGGCCATTTCAATCCAATCCCGTGTTTCCAGTCTTCATATTTTACCCATGTAACCGAGATATCTATACTTTTAAAGTTTTTATTTTGCATTTTGTTTTTTCGAAATTACCATGTATCTGGTTTTGTTTATTATTTAGTATATTTTATGATATGCTGTTAAAGTAATTTATTTTACTAATAGACAATACAGTAGATTGAACTAATTTTTGACCAAAAAGGTTCATTTGAAAATGTAATTGCGTCTGTGTACATACATGTAAATGTTTAAATTACATTAAAATAACTAAAATTATTATTCGTCGTTTAAATTTCTAATTTTGTCAAAATTTGAACTTTAAATGCTTACATACCTAGTTATATAAAATAAAATTTTTTTAAATATTTTTTAACTGTTATTAAAATTACACAAGAGAAATCTTGTAATCAACTCAACCTGTCAAAAAGATTATAATTTTATTCACATATAAAGGAAGCAAATCGAAAATGTCCATAAATTGCTAAATGCCTAAAAAGGTGGCAAAATATTTTGAAAATTTTATCATCTATAGTAGATGATGAAATAACCATTTAGTGAACATTTAAAGTATCTACAGTTATTAATTGAATTAAGTATAACAAAATAAGAAAATCGTTTGATGAGACATTTTCTAGGAAAAAGAAGCAGAACACTGAACAGCATTCCAAGTTCCCCGGTTTTTAGTCTTTAATTTTATCGTTGAAAAACGAGAACAAAATAATTTTGTCGACTTATAATACTAGGTAAATACTAAATTCGTATTATAAGATTACTTCGGAAAATGAAAAGCATTTTGAAATATAAAATGAGACCTGGCATTTATTTAAAATATTCACTTCCACATTTTCCCGGTGATAAACCTTATCACCATGGCTGAAGATTGCCATGCTTATCATTATTGTTGTTATCAAAACGTGGTCGCAATGACGCATTGAAGATTCGAATTCAAAAGTAAATCCTTTCGAATTTGAACGGAGGAAGTATTTTTTCTCTCAAATCGACGACGGTAAATTCTGATTCCTTACGGTTTTATAATTTAATCGGAACACGTGCGTCCGGCGAATTTATGTCAGGTGAAAGCTCTCGATCGTTTACCTCCAATCAGTCCAATCCACAAAGCTCTGGCGGATTCTGCCCCATAGTGTCGTCATGGTCGTGGACGACTCTGAAACGACTGCAGTCCTCCGACTTGACCGCCGAGAAGTTTTGGAGCGCCGTGAGCGTATGGAATGCCAAACCACACTTGTTGATCAAACACCTGATGGGCGCTGAATGGCTCTTGACTAAATCGTTGACCGGCGAATATGGTGACGTGTTGGCCTCGGTGGCGGCTGCAGATCTACCACCATCAGCATGGGCAGGTGATCCTGAGGAAACCTTTGAGGGTCTGGGCCTGAAAGTCGGTGTGAATATCCAAGTGGAAATCTGGAAGCTGTTCACCAAGAAGCCTGTTGACTGGAACGATTACTTTCGACTGAGCGTCTTCGGTAAGAGTTCACCATACTTGAAAAGTTTAAACATAAGGATAAAGTATAATATTGTGTTGTGCTTTTTATAGACCGGCTTAAGAATATTGCCTTGTTCTACGACTGTACGCCGAAGAAGAACGGTGATGACGTCAAATATGCCTATGATATTCATTTTGTGGAAGACTGTTTGGAGTTACGTCTTGCCAGGCCATCAAACCAATCTCAAGACGACAAGAAGGCGTTGCACTGGATGACCGATGTATTTTTTCCAAAATTTTTTAATTGGGCCATCAATGAAAAAGGGTCTAAACCTATAATTTCGTCTTTGTCACACGTTTGTGTTCAAATGTATTGCCATTTGTACAGTCGGCTAAAGGAAAAATATGCCAAATCGCTAATGAATGTAGGTTCAACAATTTTATTATTTGAAAACAACAAAAACCTAATTAAATTTTGTATTTTTAGGTTTGGACAGAAGTTACTGATCCTAAGAAGTATATACATAAAGATATTGCAACAGCCACATACCTGATGCTGTTGTGGGGCGACACCAAACCAAGTTTTGTGGATATGGGATGTGGTAATGGTTTACTTGTGCATGTGTTGAACAGCGAAGGATATAGTGGAGTCGGATTGGACGTTAGATCTCGGAAGATGTGGGCTCTATATCCTGAATCTACAGTTTTGAAGGTATTGTGGGTATTATATAATTTTAAATTTTCTTAGTTATAAGTTATTATTTTTTCATTGCAGGTGACTAGTGTTGATCCTTCGTCATCTGATTGTAAATTTCCGAAAGCTGATTGGATCATAGGCAATCATTCAGACGAACTGTCACCTTGGGTACCTGTAATTGCCTCACGTAGCAATTATAACTGCAAATTTTTTCTCCTTCCTTGTTGTCCTTTTGAATTCAATGGTTCCCGTTACCAACGTACAGATTCATCTCTTAGTCAATACCATGATTATCTGAAATACTTGGAAAAAACAAGTACTAACGTATTCAAGTTCAACGTCAAAATAGACCGTCTGCGGATACCTTCAACAAAACGGACATGCATCATTGGCTGGTCAAAAAATTATTTGCCACAGGAAGTTGATCAAGTTGTGCAGGATGTCGAAAAGTTTGCAAATTCTAAATTCAATGAAAATGTTCAATTTGTGCCCAGGCCGTCGGAAGAGAGGGTTAGGAATTGCACCAAATTAGATAAAGACTTGTTGCGCAGTGTGGTCGATACCGTAGCTGATGTATTGATAAAGAGTTCAGATGGATGGAAGTGTCGCGTCACTATAAGTGAATTAGCAAAACAAGTCGGCGAAGAGAGGCTGAAAAAGTTGAAGAAAGAATGTGGTGGTTTACAAACATTGTTAAGAAATCACAGGTATATTTTTGTGGTTGAGAAAGGAACTGTTGGGTTCAGGAAACCAGTGAAAGACTGTGGAAAAGTTTGGAAGAAACATAAGTGTTGGTTTTATCATAACTATCCAGACAAGTGTCCGTTAAATGAAGACGAGTGCTGTAATATACATTAATTACGATAAATAATTGTTATGAAGTATTAATATTTTATTATTACGAGTTTTTGTAAGAGTCAAGTTTAATATTTGTACACAAAATAAATATATTTTTTTTATGGATGTAGGAACTTTAACCTCGTTTATACTCGACTATTTTGTTATTCTCTCACAATTTCTTATTGAATAAAAAGGAATAACATTGATGATGGAAACATTCGACCCCCAAATCACATAATTTAAAAATATAAATATAATGTAATTTATAAAACAAAATTAATTTAGCAATTACCAATACACTTATATTCTTATGTATTACTTATTTTAGATGTGTTGTATGTAAACACGGGATTCTACTACAAAATAAATTTTTTATATTCATATAATATACCTTCACACATATATTATATTTTAATTAAGTAGGAAATCTGAGGGAGTGATTATTATAAATGGTGCATACATTATCTCTTATACATACATGTTAAGTTTAGTAAAAAATTTAATGGATACTGAAATTAAATAAATTATTTTTATATGTATTTTATGAAATAAACATCTGTTGAGCTGTGCATATTATTGTGTAATGTTTTATTAACAGCTGTGTAATAATAATTTACTGTCAAATTATATTGTCTGCATTGTGTATTTTGTTACTCATAGGTCATAATAAAATTAATGATATTTTATTAAAATTGTCATAGATAGCAAAATATTGACAGGAAAATGATTCTGATGATCAGTCATTTACTGATTGTCGATTATAAAATGTATGTTGATTAAATAATATATTTTTAAGGTTATAATGATACAATTTTTAATGTCTTGTAGTCAGTAAATAATAAATTATAAACATGTGGGAAATAAATTATGTTAATTTATTGTTTGTGATTTAGCTCATTTTATGATATAAATAAAATCATATAGTATGAAACAAAATCACAACTTAAATTACCTAGTATGACTGTAATATTTTTCAACTAACTTAAGCATATTATTTGAAATAATTTTAAATCGCTTTATACATTTTTTTTTGAGTTTATTAGTAATTACTAATTAGTTTAACACGAATAGTATAATTTTTCAAAAAATGTTCAACAACATAAAACAAATAATTACTAGTTACATGATTACATAAATAATGTACAACCAGTGTACGTGATTTAAAACAATTGTCAATTAATAATAATTAACTTATCAACTGGTATTGAATTAAATATAATATAAAATATCGAAGAAAAATAAATAGACAAATGTTCTAAACACACAAATTGTGTGAATTTATTATATAAAACTAGAACATGAGCATATTCTATTAAACTAATTTATTATAGTAATCAGATCAAATTATTGTCCTAAAATGTTTAAATATAACTTAGGGTGCTAAGTATATATTATACTATACACAAAATAACTTACAAATAAAAAGAATACTTGTATAGTTATCATATCACCGTCACTACACAAAATTTATGAGTGTTGTCAACAAAAGTAACTAGAATAAATAATAAATTAAATAAAACAAAAAAAACTGATATCTATTATAAATAGTATTGAAAATTAAAATTATAACAATTTTTAATATTAAAAAAAATACTGTTGTCGTATAATGGAAACGAGAAATCACATTACAAATGAAATTTCATCAAAAATGTTTGGCGTTTATCAGAAGATTACAAATAAATATAATATAAAGTGAAACATATATTTTTTGAAAAGCTTAAAGCTATAAATTATTGCTGGAAAAAGATTGTTGAAGAAAATCGGTAACAAACCAAAATATACAATTGTATATTTTACTATATACATTCTTCATATTTGATCACTTGATTGTGTTTAATAATAGTACCTAATATAAAGAAAGAAATTAACGAATACTTATGACTGTATCGCAATGCTAGAAACTGGTCGCGACAACTGAGTAATATCTCTGTACTGGGTGAACACGCAGATCTAACATAAAAATTAAATGTTAATTATTACAACAAATTGGAGTGTATATAAGTTTAATAATAACCTTGTCTTTGAGTTGCTGGGCTAGCTGTAAAGCAACTGTGAAAAGAACGAGGACTTCATTCAACCACGGTACTGTACATTCAGCTTGATACGTGTCGTACTTCATTGCACCGTGAGAATTGGATAATTGGTAAACAGCAAATATTAGCTTATGACTCTGTATGTAAAAACTAATTGCCAAATCTTCTGGTAAGTTGGGTGTCAAACACTTCTGAAACAAACGTAACCATTGGCTTAGCAATTTCAATACACAGTGGATTTTTTACTCCAGTAGGGGCTGCTTACCATGTTTCTGCTTTTAATCAAATCATCAATTGTTCTTTTACGTGGAACTATCAGACTTGTACGACCTCTTTGCAAACACCCTAATAAATTTCGCAGAATGTGCAATACTTCTTCTGAGGAACTATACAAATTAACAAAAAAAGTAAATAAATTAAGCCAACTAAAAAAATTAAACATATAAAAGATAAAATTTAAGTACTTGAAAATAGTTTCCTTGTCTATTTTCTCAATTTGTAAAATAGCTTGTCTTAGATGATTGCCTGCGTCTTGAACTTGATGCAATTTCCACGGGCAGTCGTGACGAATGTTTGTCCGGTACATTACTTGCTGCTGATGTCTCTGTACTTTAAATTGTATGTCCTGTAATAAGTTGTATACAATTAAAATAGACTTATGCATTTAAGTGGAAGAAATATAAAAACTTTTATTTTCAATCATATTATGACTACTGCAGTAAAAGAGATGATAGTTTTATTACCTACTTATTCGTTATTATTATACAAGATTTAAACAAAAGTGATCAAATAAATATTAATGTATAGAGATAATATTTTGATATGTACTTAATATAAATAGTTGAGGTTTATAAACTATCAGTCAGACATGCAACATATTACTGTATGTTTTGTTGAGCAAAACGACCTTGATATTAATAGCAAAACTATAGCGAAACGAAACATGTGATGAGCACAAAGTGGCAGTTAAGATACAGTAGATAGTAATGACGAACAATCATAGCTTAAAGAGTAGCTAAAAGCGGTAGAAGAACATTTACCGCCTGCAGTATGGTGTCACCAGAAATGGATACGATGCTTTTCAACTGGTCTGGTGACGTAGACAGGACAAATTTTTCCTGTTTGACCTGGACGTCACTGTCCCATGATGGAAAACGTCGGACGCATTCCTACAACGAAATGAGTTTAACAATAATTACATTGCGAATGTGGTAGTTGACTCATTACTTACGTTGAGTATGATGTTCAGCTGGTGTAATATTGAGTGCACCTCTTCATTCAGCACCCACTCGAATTCTTTTTGCTAGAACAAAAAAAACAATGTTACAACAAAATTGCTCCCATAAAGAAGAACATTTGATAGATTATTCTCGTTGCATCAAGTCGAGTATCGATAAATACTTACCAGACATTGGTGTTCCAGTTTGTCACCTTCTGCCATTGTCGCTGATGTAGAGAGGTCTTCGGTGCACCCGTCTTATCCCGATGGGTCTCTTGACAACACCGATCAGCTGCCACTGTTGTCCGTGGACATCAGTAGTTGTTGACGCATGCAGCCCATTACAATAATTGAATAATATCGATCGAGGTCGGCTGACGGCTGCCGATATCCGGTAACGCGGGAGGATAGATTACCGACGTCGGTTCATACCACCCCTTTCGGAGATCGTCGGCTGTTGGCGAGGAACCGCGACGTCGAAAAAATCGCGAATGTGATAATATTGTGGTGGATGGTACAAAAAACAATTTATTCACGACGATGTCGTGACTAGTGAAACGCGAAAAACCTGATGATTGATCGGTCTCGGTCGTTCGTCAGTCGATAATATGGATTACGGTCGACTGTCGAGTGCGGAGAGAGTGATAAGGGACGAAGATAAGCGCGCCGTGAAACAGCTGCTGCGGACTAGCCGTGATAAGTGATAAGGATAACCGCGCCCGTGTACTTATCACATTTTCGCATTTGTACGAAACACATCGCAGACTCTGTGGAGTCGGTGCCCGGTGACATAAATTAAAATTAATGGTCAAGAATTAGGAGGATGTCAGTATGTCACACCCGCATATATTAATGTCTCTGTTTTACACTAGGACGACAATCAATAAAACAAATTTGTGTTCAGCAGTTCCAATGGTGTGTTGCGTTATTAAATTTAATATTAGAGCGAAATTACCTATAATCAAGCTTAAAGGTAAGAACATAATCTGTGTTCTCTCGTTGGTTTTTTACAACATTTTAATTTTCAAATGAGTTATGAGAATTTTTAAATTCTGATATATTCCACACTCAAAACTTACTTGAGAAATCAAAATATAGTAAAAACCAACGAGGGAACAAAATGTTCTTCTTACATTATCGATATTTAAGCTTGATAATAGGTCAATTTACAGTTAATGTACCCTTTCAACTCTTAAACTTCAACACTCTTCGATTCAACATTTTTTTTATCATGTACCTATATAATTTATTAATGTGTATTTAATTATGTACCCATGTAATTTTATAATTTTCTACCATTAAATATTAATAATAATATAACTAGTGAAATATCTATTTACCTATGTAGTATTATAATTATATTACCTATAATACACAATAATTACAATTTTGTAAAATTTAAACTAAAATACCATAGTACTAGAGTAGTATTGTCGCCTAAACTACCACATTATCTGATAAAATTCTATTTTGACAGTAGACACTATCAAACAATTTTATTATTTCAAAAGATTAGGTCATATACATAAACAATACATCTAATGTAAATGTAAATGTATTAATTATTTATTATTAATTATTGAATAATTACATGGTAATACCACAGTATAATACCTCGCATTTACGCAACCGCTCGGCGCTCGCTTTCATCGGTAGATGACGCTGCAACTTACGGTTTTAATTAGATTTGTATCATTAAAATGTAATTATTCATTTTATAAAAGTACTAGCTCTCCGAGGGTCGCAGGGGGGAGACCCCCAGACCCTCCGAAAGGGCTGAAAGTGGATTTCGGTCCACGGAGACTGAGTCGTTGCAATTTTAAAAGTCGCGTCCGTAGGTGGGTTGAACCTCAAAAGACAAAGAAGTTAATAAGGATTTGTGATAAGGGGCTTTGGAAGTATCGTTTCGGAGGTGAGAACTTTTGAAAATCTAAAAATCTGTGATTGAACGGAATTGATAGTCGATACGGTCCAGTCATGTGCTCTAACGAATGTCGAAACCCAAAATGTATATTTGAGTGTCTAGCAAGTCAGTCACGTCCAGTGAAAATCGATAGACGTTTAACTTGGTCATCAAGGCAGGCTATACAGCTGTACCAAATGTACCTATATAATATGCAGATCGTATAAAAAGAATAGCTATGAATATCAATAAATATATTATGACTTAATTATTAATCATATAATTTATTCAAAGTAAATTTAAGCTACCTTAGTGATGTGACAATCAAGATCGCATATAAATCGTAAATGTAATCACAGACATGTCTGTAGCACACGAAATACGAATACACTGCACAATTTCTGACATATTTAGTTAAAAAATAAAAGATTTTTACTACATTATGTTTTATACATAATCCAGTATAGATGATATCATATGATTTAACAACATCGACCGGCCTGCACACCTCACATAAACATACAATATACACGTAATCGGGTGTTTATTTTGACAATATAATATCTGTGGCTTACACGAATTGTGTGCTACATTAAATTTCCAATTACCAATATGAGAGACCTACGGTTTGGTTTGACCAAAAGATTCATCGAATTTGCAATATAACACTCAATGAGGAAATTCTGTAGCAAAAAACGTTGCAAACCGTTAGATAACGGAGAAATCATGACGGTCTGTCTGCTAAACGACGCTGCAAACTCCATGACCCAGCGTTTGGCATGTTTAGTTCTTTATACACCAGAACTTTGAAATAATAAAAAAAAAATTATTATGAAAAAAAAAATTGAGTTGTGTTATTTTAACAGACATGGAGACGGAATTTAGAATTGTTCAAACGTTTTGTTAAGTTACAGCTGTACAATCAGTATAACTCAATGTAAGCATGCAGCTTGTGTAAAAAGAATAGCTAATATGAATATCAATAAATATATTATAACTTATTTATTAATCATTGACGGATTTCAAAATACGAAAACTGATAAAACTGATAAGTAGCAAACACTTGGGAAATTTGAAAAGTATCGGGAAAAAATGCAAAAAGTTCGAGTGGCCGTACAATCAATGGGCCGCCGGGCTCTCGCTGCCCTAATTTGTTGTCACCGTATCGTAACCTACGTACACCCCTGTCGAAATGACCTAACTACGCTTAAACCTGCCTATACCTATGATTAGAGATACCAAGGTATGTCAAATCTACCACACTTAAGCTGTTTTTCCTCTGTAAGAAATATTGCATTGAACATTGTTTAACCGATTAAATTCATAAGAATTGTGTGTAATTAAACCTTAAATCGCATTTCCTTACTTATCTGGTGTGTATATACTTCAATTTCCATCAATAATTATAATATATATATATTTATTATATTTTACTGCATTAGATATGTATACAATGTTTGAATATACTTTATTCAAAGTTAATTCATACTGTTGTCGTGATGTGACAATTAACATCGCATCTAATTAATAAAGGTTACCTATCATGGATTAAATAAGAAAATTAAGCCAGAAGATCATAACACCATTTTTTTTGAGTCTGTGACGAGGATTTCCATGGAATGTAGGTTATTTATGAGTGGATTGTGTTAGTTCTCTAGTATAGAAAAAACCGTTTGTAAAAAAATGCAGCTTTATTCTCAATTGGTTTATTGCCAAGGTCATTATGGAGAGTTAATATAATGACAAAGGGAGAAGCGTGTGTTATTTTGCTGAGTTTTATGTTTCACATTTCTATTAAAATATTATAATTTGAATTTTGTACTGTTATAGTTGTACTGTTCTATGTTGGGTAAACGAGGGTACCTAACTATGTTTGGTGAACCACACATTCAAGCTGTATAAATATAATCATTTTAAATATTATAAACTTTTGCTACACGATGATATAATTGGTTTATTATCACGATGACTATAGATACTGCAACTTGTTATTATAAAAATATAAAAATTATAATTTTATGAAAAAAATCTGTTAACATTCGTCCACTGCAGTCAATCGAGTTAAGTTCAATTCTGTGCCTGAAATGTTTGATGGATTTTCAATTAACGCAAAAACATGTATTGAAGGTATAAAATATCATATTTATACCAGTCCACACAATACACTCCACGCCATCATCCCTCCTTCGTGATTTACTGCAGTTTATATTTGGTATAAATGTAATAAAATGTATTGTGTCAAAAGTGCAAGTGGTAGGTAACTGGTTATAGTGGTATATAATTTCCCTTTGCTATTTCTTTCTTTAATGTGCTTTGATGGTTTATAAGAATTATATCGATCGGATTAATTGGGGTCTGGGGAGAGTATATATAATTCTGGCACAGATGCGGTCGGTACTGTTGTGGTCACAATACCTTTTTGGTGGCACTTGCGGTCACTCATTTTTTATACATATCAACTGGTTTTACAATACTAATATAATGATAATGATTTTAAACAATATTTTTTGTTTAATACAATAAAATAAAGGTCAAAACGAAAAATTTAAGATGATGTACATGACGACTCTTCTCGCACTCTTTTTCTTACATTATTAAAATATAGTTCATTTACTTCACTTGCTGCCATATCAGGTTTACATAAATGCTCAGAAAGATAATTATTTCTTTATTTTTAGTTCTCATACGACCCATACATTTATTCTTTTTTTTATTCAGACATACCCAAACTGTCCCATTTTCATTTTGTCTGTATTTTCTGAATTGTTAACCATTAAAACTTGCTAAGGGCTTAGATTTTCAGATGATGATGATCCTCTGAGGAGAGCTGTGTCTTTAGTTAACAGTAAAACTAATTAAAACATTTTTTAATTGAGGTTTTTGTTTCCGTTATATTTAACTTTCAGGAGCTTACTATGTAATACTGTATAATTTTTAATTTATTGATACTTAATGTGTTATATATATATATAAACATTAAACATGTTAATATGTATATTCATTAATATGTACTACAATGTAAAAGCCGTATGGCGTTAAAAAAAAAAAAAATAATTAATACATATTATTGAAATTAGGTACATACACCGCCTATTGTGCCACCCGGCATAATACGCGGTCTTACGATGTCCCCTTCGAGAGTGTTTTGACGAGATTTTACTGTTATATGATGAAGTATATTGCCAGTTTAAAGTCTAAAAAGTGCCGGAAATATATTGAATTTTTAAAAAACTCAAAAGACGTAATTTACGTACGAATAAAAGATATTTAGCGAGCAATTCACAAAATACAAAATATACCAGATACACAATTTACAAAAAAACTTTAATATGAGACGCAATTTACAGCGATCATGATTTACCCAGGGCCGATTCCCAGGATACATTATGTTTTGAAAAATGTACCTAGGTACGCATTGAATTTTCCGGCTATTGGTTTCACCTTCCCTATAGGCTTAAACAATCCCAGCACTAATAGAATGAATAGGACTAAACAAATAAACAATTTTACAAACTGTTAATATACTGTTGTCACTAACTCATTATACTTATGTAAATATTGTTTATTTAATTTATATTAACTTAAGTGTATTATTTAAAAGCATATCTAGGTCACACTTAAAAAAAAAAAAATGTATTGGTCCTGTTTTATTTGTTTGTTAGAACACTCAAGATAAAGATAGTCTAGACTCTCGAGGTACCGAAAATTAAAAATAATTGT